CCAACAGACAGATTTATAGGATATTAAAGTTACACAAGCATACAATTGGCCAATCATACACCAAATAACCCTCAATATACTTCTCTGCCAGTCGGGGTGCCTGTCTGACAAGTTTGCCAGACTGATTAACTCTCTTGTCGAGTTTAGGCACGATATTTTGCTACAGCGTTGCTGTATGATGATCTGGTAGCGTTGCTACGTGATTATCCTGCAGTTGCAGAAGAATGATTCGAGATAAAAGTTTATGAATGAAGGTGGAGGAAACCGTGTCACTGATCTCCACTATACACTCTATTTTATGTAATGTTCCAGGATTTTCCTTGTAGATATTGTCCAGGTACTCCCCCAGTTCTAGAGAGTATTCACTGGCGATAAAAAATATTAGATAAGGTGTCCTTGAGCTGGTAATGTTCGCTAAGGATCAGTCACTTGTTCACTCATTTGTAAACAAACGCGGAGTCCGCGAGGCATCGTCGTGGGCGCTTCTCCCCCCCCCCGAGAGCCTTCCCCCTCTCCCTTGAGAGGTAGCTTGCAATGAATATTGATTGATTATTTTTACAGTCTAGACTTATGATTAAGATAAGATGTGATTATAATATAATTAGATATAAGATTTAAAGATTATAAGTAGTATTTGAAAGTACCACTGATTCTTATTAAGGATTCGATTTTTAATCCTACCGGATGTTGAATCAATGTTCCAATAGTTTTTTAATTAAGAAGTCCTTCTAGAAGCTTCTGGATCCTTGAGAAATCATGTACAAAGTCACGTAGGCATCAAAAGGGCCCCTGTTGAGTACGTGTTCACGGTGCCATTGTCATCCAGGATCAAGCTATATAATGAATTTTTCATGATTCTAATATGATTTGATACAATTTAGATATGATTTTGATATGATTTAGATATGATATAGAAATTATACATTTCTTAGATGATTATTAGATATGGTGGGTAAAAATTTCCCACACTTGGTTCAGGATTGAACCATCGATCCAGGTGTCGTCTTATTGTATGTTTATTTCTATGTTGCTGTATCCATTGTTCACCAACACCTGGATTACTCTTTCAAACTCCTTACTCACGTTGCTTCATTCAGAGCAGTGGGTAAGAGCTCGACGAATATAAGCGTTGAGAACACTGGATTTGTATCTTTGGGGGCATTCACTCCTACCGTTTAGGCATAATCCTTTGTTTGATGGCTTAGTATATACACTGGTGCTTAGAGGGCTCCTGGTTTTATTATAAGTACATCCAGGAATAGCAGGCTGTTATTTTCATGTGTAAAACGGAGTACTGACTCTGACTTTTTAGATCAATTAGTTCGTCTGAGTCTTTTACCATGATGATTATGTGATCTACATAACGGCAGTACACCTTTGGGTTTTGCCTACTACTAAAGACTCTATCATCGTTGGTTCCCATGTAAAAATTAACGAATAACAGTCCTAAGGGGGAACCTCTTGAATCATTTTATTTTATTTAAAATTTCATTACACAAAAAGGGTTACAACATTGGTTACATGCAGGGTACAAGGCTGCTTATCACAGGGTAATAGAGTTCCTCCAGCTCCTCAGATGGTGGACAGGAACCATGGATGCAGTGAGCATTTCCTCTCTGGATCGCCACACTATGGTGCTAAAGAGGAAACTGGCAGCTCTAGAGTCTCTAGTTGTTTCAATTAGCTTAGAACCCAGTTCCTTAAAAAAAACTTGTAGCACTTTTACCCCAGCCACCAAGTGTCTTCGAGGCAATGAGGACAAGATTGGAATGGCGTAATGGTGGCCAAAGATGAGACGCAAGTGTAGTCCACACCAACTGTCTACCATTCTTCCAGGGGTTCACCTTGATCCCATCTGGGCGACCGACAGGCTCATCAGATTTGTGGGGCATTAAGTAACGGAGTGCCCTCTCTGCTGGACAACCGGCTTGGGTAAGGCGTCTCTTAATAATGTCATTAACCTCACTGTGTCTAGCATGTCATCCTCCTGTCCTTTGGCAGAGAAGGCCATGCCGTCCATACCTGTCGGCCTCTGCCTCGCCGCAAATACACCTTTATTCGGTGTGGATTAGGGAAGCGAGGCGGAGAGACACAGCAATATGGAGGGTCTGTGGTGTGAGACGTGTGCCGGTTGCTGACATTAGGGGGTTGCTAAAAGGAAAATACCTGCATGGGGAGCTGCAACAGCTCAAAGTCGGACAGTGTGATGTGGTGTTGTCGCAGCTTCTAGGCATGTTGCAGCTGCTTGGTCGACAATGGGGCGATCCCTGCTGGATTGCTTATGGATTGCTTGGGTTTAAAAAAGTGGTGATAGGGGGGCTTTTTCTGCAAGAGAGACCCACTTGGTGGTGCAGACCCTAAGGCTTGGATCATGTACCCCTAGGTCACGTAGGGTCATATGTTGATGTAGGTCAACATATACACATATACTTGCCTAAACCACAAGTGAGATTTAAACACATCTGGCACACACCCCTGCAAGTGACTCGAACTCAGGAAGCTCAGGTATTCGTGCACGTGAGCATAACTGTCCGGACACATGACACTCATAACGCACATGAGCATAACTAGGTAAGTATTTGAGTGCATAAACGGCACGAGTTCTCCCTGGTAATGCAATTGCTTGATAAAAAACGAAGTTTTTTATGAGAAACTCTTCAGACACAAAACAGAACGCTTTAAAAGAGACTAATGTCGTCTATGCCTTCAAATGCCCTCTTGGGGACTGTAAGCTCCAAAAAACCCAGTATATAGGCAAGACAACATCTCTTTCTAGGCGTTTAACGATGCATAAGCAACAGGGCTCCATTAAGGAACATATAACCTCTTCCCACAACCAAACCATAGCCAGAGAAATCCTAGTAAACAACACAGAAATCATCGATAGATACAGCGATAGCAGGCGGCTTGACGTTTGCGAGGCTTAAGTTTTATTTCTGTCCAAATATTTGCTAAAATTACAAAAATTTTACGAAGATAGGTTGCAGAATCATGCAATTTATTTCAAATAAGCATGTGAGAGGGTTATGACACTGAGAAATTTGCCATGATGGGATTACACACCCTAATTGGATCATTACCAGAATCTCCACGTTCTAACCCTTTGTCTGGTTTATGTAAATGTGAAAATTATGTCTAACAATTGAGAGTATGATCATGGCTGAAATTTCCAGAAAATCTTGAATTTTTTGCTGCATCATAATGAACTCATTTTTTTTTACTGAGGTTTCTTATATATACCCTCAATTTTGTATTATTTTTTCTTGAAATTCCAGAAAGTGTTGTATTGCACTATGTGACGTTAGGAGTAGTCAAAGTTAGATAATCTCTAAACCTTAATCAGTTGCCGAATATAATTTTGGTGTTATCCATTAACAAATTATATTTAGGGGCAGAATTGCAATATGTCCTCACGCTTATTGTACCACATATTTGAAGGTTATCTGTCCCACTGTAAAAGTTCTTGATTATGTTTAACTAAACGCTCTGCAAAATGTCGGCTACCCCAGGCGAATGAGCACAACTCACTAAACCTATCTGATTCGATAGGTTTAGTGGGTATTACAGGTCTGAATGCTTATGGTTAAAGAAAGCCAAATCATACATGACACATGACAAATCATGAGAATATAATGCTATCAATACGATTAGTAGAAATATGGTAATGTTGTAAATATAGAATCTTCACAACGAGTGAAAAGTAGTGTACTATCTCAACTCGTTCTCGCACTATCGTATAGTCAATATTGACTTAACCTATTATAGGTATAGGTTAAGTAATAATTGTAATTACGAAGCAATAAGATGCTTATCTTAACATACTAAGAAGGTTAGGTAAGGTTGGTGTTTTCTATGAAGCTTTTCAAGGTAAACTAATATGTTTAGAATGTCACATATGCACGTATTAAATAAGTCAATATTGACTGTAAGAAAGTGCGAGAACGGATTGACTATCTCCAGGTAGTGTTTACGTCCTCTCGCTTACCTTTCATTCAGATCCCAGTTTACGTAAAGACTTGTGGTGGGAGCGGCTGGTGATGCTGGTGTGGATGTTGGTGACGCTGGTCTTGACCAGATGTTACGCCGGCAATCTCATGGCTCTCCTGGCTGTGAGACACATCTCCCAACCCTTCCAGACTCTCCAGGACGTCCTAGACCATCCTTCAGCCATTATGATGTGGCAAAAAAATTCTATCAATGCTGAGTACCTTCGAGTGCGTCTCTAATCTTTGACTTTTGAAAGTTACGTGTCACCTTAGTGTGCGTGTTTTTAACTTATTTTTGTGTAAGTTATGTTTTATCTTTGTGTGAGTCTTTTTGACGTTTCTCTGTGGACATTGCATTGCACCTTTAAGTGCCTCTGACGTTTGCTTGTGAAGTTCAGTATTTGTTCAGTCTTCTTGCATTATTATATTCATAAGAAAATACAAATAAAAATGTAATCTCCATGAATTTAAACATGTATATTCTCGTAATACACATATAAACAATTATATGCTCATAATCCTACAGTATACTTAGTCGCTTGACGGTGAGTGTTACAGGAATCAGTCCCAAGTTCTGTGTTTGTAAGATTCAAGGTAATAATAACTACTTTCCTCAGTTAGGCTCAACACTTTGTTTTCGAGAGCTCGGTCATTTGTTGGTGTTTCATTTGTGGTTCATTTGTCTAACTACAATCGGTAGTCAAATGCTTGAAGCTTAATCACCTTTACTACCAAATATAGATTTATAAAATCCCAAAAGCAAGTCAGAATTTTACAATAATATGAGCAAATAAAATTTTCTATTCAATAATTATGTTGTCTATAGATATTTTGGGATACCCGTCAAGATCATAACCAAAGATGAAACCAATTGTGTGCGAATGTGTTTACCCCAAAAAAGTAGAAATTATGAACAATTAATTGTATACCAGTACAAATTTGTAACCTGAACTAAGTTTCGTTTGTAAACAATGGTTGTTCGAATAGATTCTGTTTCATTTATCTTAGGTTGTTAAATCCGGCATAATCTACGAGGCGTCAAAGCTGGAGGGTAAGGGGCGCCTGGTGTATGTCACACAGGGAGAGTACTCCAGGGTGATGGACTCCCTCGTCAGGCGAGGACGGCATCTTCTCTTCGATGTGGGCATCTCTCTCAGGAACCTGATTGCCAAGGACTATTCGCTGACAGGTTTCTAAACTATATATTTACAGCATTAGATATATTAGCGTATGTAAAATAATAGTAATGCTTGGGACACGTCCTGTTTGTTAGACTCCCTGAACGTGTCTCAGTATTTCAGTGCGTTCGGTTGAATGCTTTATATTCAGACTATATAACTCCGGGTCTGAGGGTCTAGATATTTTACTATGTTCATAAAGTGCCTTTCCTATAGCTTCCGCCCTGAATAATATACTAGCAAGCAAAGTATCACCGGTGACTGCCACTTGATAGTTTGCGAGTCACGAACACATCAAAATGCTCACTCGTATCAGAGTCAATTGACAAAATTACAAAACTATTTGTTGCCGTTAGAGCAGGAACCACAACGTACCGTAACCCAACATATAAATATCTTATAAATCAATAGCCTATGACAGTAAAATTAAATGAAACCCATATATCATCAAAATAAAGTAAAAACCAAATCCGCCATCAGGAAATATTATTATACGAACACCATAACTCTAAACATATGTAGGTGTTGACAGAGTTGATAAAGCTACCTCATCCTTCCAAGTCTATCCTATATTAGAGTTTCCCGTCTCAGTAAGTTCACAACCTCTCGCAGCTTAACACAGTGATTACTTCTAACTACTAAATAAGCTGAGAGCAAATTTGCTCTTACGGTGAAAACCTATAATATATAAATTGATATATATATATATATATATATATATATATATATATATATATATATATATATATATATATATATATATATATATATATATATATATATATATATGAGGTCGGTGTTGAAGATTGTGTATATGGCGTGCACAGATGTGCAGAGAACCGCTCGAGTGCACAGCTGGTGCAGAGAACTGCTCGAGTGCACAGCTGGTGTAAAGAACCGCTCGAGTGCACAGATGGTGTAGAGAACCGCGCGAGTGCACAGATAGTGCAAAGAACCGCTCGAGTGCACAGATGGTGCAGAGAACTGTAGGAGTGCGCAGTTTTTCCAGAGAACTGTGGAAGTGTGCAGTTTTTCCAGAGAACTGTGGGAATGCGCAGTTTTTCCAGAGAACTGTATGAGTGCGCAGTTTTTACAGAGAACTGTGGGAGTGCGCAGTTTCTCCAGAGAACTGTATGAGTGCGCAGTTTTTACAGAGAACTGTGGGAGTGCACAGTTTTTACAGAGAACTGTGGGAGTGCGCAGTTTTTACAGAGAATTGTGGGAGTGCGCAGTTCTTACAGAGAACTGTGGGAGTGCGCAGTTTTTACAGAGAACTGTAGGAGTGCGCAGTTTTTACAGAGAACTGTGGGAGTGCGCAGTTCTTACAGAGAACTGTAGGAGTGCGCAGTTTTTCCAGAGAACTGTGGGAGTGCGCAGTTCTTACAGAGAACTGTGGGAGTGCGCAGTTTTTACAGAGAACTGTAGGAGTGCGCAGTTTTTACAGAGAACTGTGGGAGTGCGCAGTTCTTACAGAGAACTGTAGGAGTGCGCAGTTTTTCCAGAGAACTGTGGGAGTGCGCAGTTCTTACAGAGAACTGTGGGAGTGCGCAGTTTTTACAGAGAACTGTAGGAGTGCGCAGTTTTTACAGAGAACTGTGTGAGTGCGCAGTTTTTACAGAGAACTGTGGGAGTGCGCAGTTCTTACAGAGAACTGTGGGAGTGCGCAGTTTTTACAGAGAACTGTAGGAGTGCGCAGTTCTTACAGAGAACTGTGGGAGTGCGCAGTTTTTACAGAGAACTGTAGGAGTGCGCAGTTTTTACAGAGAACTGTGGGAGTGCGCAGTTTTTACAGAGAACTGTAGGAGTGCACAGTTTTTACAGAGAACTGTAGGAGTGCGCAGTTCTTACAGAGAACTGTGGGAATGCGCAGTTTTTACAGAGAACTGTGGGAGTGCGCAGTTTTTACAGAGAACTGTGGGAGTGCGCAGATGATGCAGCACGAGAGGCCCAATACCTTCACATTATTGCAGTGATGGAGTTCTTCCTTTCTTATATGTTGTTAATTCCCTCACGAGCAGAAATATACTTCTGCTGGAATTAATATCATTGTGCCAACTGTCAGGTGTGGACTTATAAGATTGTCAGGTGTGGACTTATAAGACTGTCAGGTGTGGACTTATAAGATTGTCAGGTGTGGACTTATAAGATTGTCAGGTGTGGACTTATAAGACTGTCAGGTGTGGACTTATAAGACTGTCAGGTGTGGACTTATAAAACTGTCAGGTATGGACTTATAAGATTGTCAGGTGTGGACTTATAAGACTGTCAGGTGTGGACTTATAAGACTTGCCCATTTTGATCACAGTAATTATATACCAGACATTAGGGAATGCTAACCTCAGGGTAATTACCACCTGCCGTCATTATGAGCCGGAGTGACGGCAGTGTTGTTGACGGTGTAGTTGACACCATGATGAGTGGTAACACACCTGGGTGTTGACGGTGTAATTGACACAGTAATGAGCAGTAACACACCCGGGTGTTGACGGTGTAGTTGACACAGTAATGAGCAGTAACACACCCGGGTGTTGACGGTGTAGTTGACACAGTAATGAGCAGTAACACACCCGGGTGTTGACGGTGTAGTTGACACAGTAATGAGCAGTAACACACCCGGGTGTTGACGGTGTAGTTGACACAGTAATGAGCAGTAACACACCTGGGTGTTGACGGTATAGTTGACACAGTAATGAGCAGTAACACACCCGGGTGTTGACGGTGTAGTTGACACCGTGATGAGCAGTAACACACCCGGGTGTTGACGGTGTAGTTGACACAGTAATGAGCAGTAACACACCCGGGTGTTGACGGTGTAGTTGACACCGTGATGAGCAGTAACACACCCGGGTGTTGACGGTGTAGTTGACACAGTAATGAGCAGTAACACACCCGGGTGTTGACGGTGTAGTTGACACCGTGATGAGCAGTAACACACCCGGGTGTTGACGGTGTAGTTGACACAGTAATGAGCAGTAACACACCCGGGTGTTCCAGGCAGGTGCGACTTCTACACCTCGAGGGAGACCTACCTGGCCTTCTCATCTTCTCTCATCAGCCAGAGGAATAATCCTATTGTGCCAGCAGTTAAATACAGGTAAGAGTGGTAATACATATGATACATATAATACATGTAAAAGTGGTAATACATATAATACAGGTAATAGTGGTAATACATATTTTACATGTAATAGTGGTAATACATATAATACATATAATACATGTAATAGTAGTGATAGTGGTAATACATATAATACAGGTAATAATGGTAATCCATTTTATACATATAATAGTGGTAATATATATTATACATGTAATAGTGGTAATACATATATATGTAATGCAGGTAATGCAGTAAATACTGGTAATTTTGGTAATACATAGTGTATGTATTACATATACATAGGTACAATACATTGCCCATTGGACTCGGCAGTATCACACGCAGAGTTGCAGGACTAATATTTCTCACTAACTTGGTGGCTTAAGGAAATGAGCAGTACTGAGGACTTTTATATTATTATACTTTCATATAGAGAAGTTCTTACATTCTGGTAAAGCCACTAGCACACAAAGTGTTTCGGGCAGGTCTTTAATCCCTATTTTCCCTGGAATACGACCCGTCAAATGTTTTAACAACCAGGTACCCTTCACTTCCGGGTGAACAGAGGCGTACAGTTAAGGATTGGCGCCCAATCAATCCACCGCGGCCAGGATACGAACCCAGGCCAAATCGATTACGAAGTGTGGGACAAGTGTCTTACCACTGCACCACAGGGTGCTTCTGCAGTTCAGGATTCATACTACAGAGTAGAAGCATGGCTGGAGTGTCCCTCCTACAACGTGCACTCTAGCAGGAGTAGGAAGTTACACTCTGGCAAGAGGGGGAGGGACACCAGGCAGGAAGGAGGGAGGGACACTAAGGCAGGAAGGTAAGATATAGGCAAATATGGAGGTGGTTCTAATACGAGTAACAAAACGCTATCTAGGAACAAATTCACAAACAGAAGGTATAATCATAAAAAATATTGAAGAATTTTAATAAATGGGTAATTGCTGTAAGAGTAAATTAGCAGAGCTAAGTGAGAGATGTGAGAGCACCTGCCAGCTGGGAGAAGTGGGACAACACTTGTTGTCTGGATTTGAAGGCCGCAAATAATGAGCGTCAGAAGACGTTACAAACCTTAGGTGACCAATTAGAGGAACTGAACACAGAAAAGGGATCATGTGGGCCTCAACAGTTACAAAATATATGATAGTTGATAAAATAGTGGTGGATGTTCTACAGGCAGCAAACTCCTAAAACATGAAAGATCTGAAAAGGAGGATAATGTTGTTCCCAGATTATTGTGTAGAAAATAGTTGGTAGTTCTCTGTCAACGTGTTGGCAGCAGACGCAGTTTATGACCGTGTTGGAGTAGTTTATGAATTGTGGCAAATGTATTCGAGGCAGTTGGCAGTGTGGCACCTCCTGTAGGCTGGGTGTCCTCATTATGAGAGGGTCACCGGTCACGGTGGGTCGGGTGCCTGCCCTCGGGCGGCATTCCAAAGAGGTGACTGGAAGTGACATAATGGGACGGTCTGACATATGGACCGGGCTAGTAGGAGGTGACATGTTGGGACGGTCTGACACATGGACCAGGCTAGTGGGAGGTGACATGTTGGGACGGTCTGACACATGGACCGGGCTAGTGGGAGGTGACATGTTGGGACGGTCTGACACATGGACCGGGCTGGTGGGAGGTGACATGTTGGGAGGTTCTGACACATGGACCGGGCTAGTGGGAGGTGACATGTTGGGACGGTCTGACACATGGACCAGGCTAGTGGGAGGTGACATGTTGGGACGGTCTGACACATGGACCGGGCTGGTGGGAGGTGACATGTTGGGAGGTTCTGACACATGGACCGGGCTAGTGGGAGGTGACATGTTGGGAGGTTCTCACACAGGACAGAGAAGGCTGGGCAGACTGCATATTTCTTGACTGCCAAAAGGCCTTTGATACAGTACCGCACATGAGACTGCTATACTTGAGAGGCAGGCAGGAGTAAGCGGAAAGGCCCTAGTATGGGTGAAAAACTACCTAACAGGAAGGAGCCAGAGGGTAATGGTAAGGGGCGAGAAGTCGGACTGGCGAACAGTAACAAGTGGAGTACCTCAAGGATCGGTGCTGGGACCAATCCTCTTTCTAATTTACGTAAATGATATGTTTACAGGAGTGGAATCATACATGTCAATGTTTGCGGATGACGCAAAATTAATGAGAAGAGTTGTGACAGACGAGGATTGTAGGATCCTCCAAGAGGAATTAAACAGGTTGCAGAGATGGTCAGGGAAATGGCTACTGGAGTTTAACACCAGTAAATGTAAAGTTATGGAAATGGGATCAGGTGACAGGAGACCAAAGGGACAGTACACAATGAAGGGGAACAGCCTACCTGTAACGATTCGAGAAAGAGACCTGGGAGTGGATGTGACACCTAATCTAACTCCTGAGGCACATATAAATAGGATAACGACAGCAGCGTACTCTACACTGGCGAAAATTAGAACTTCATTCAGAAACCTAAATGAGGAGGCTTTTAGGGCGCTTTACACTACCTACGTGAGACCCGTCTTAGAGCATGCCGCGCCATCATGGAGCCCCCACCTGAAGAAACACAAAGAAACTGGAGAAGGTTCAGAGGTTTGCGACGAGGCTTGTCCCAGAGTTACGAGGGATGGAATATGAAGAGCGTCTGAAGGAACTGAACCTTACGACACTAGAGAAAAGAAGGGAGAGAGGAGATATGATAGGGACATATAAAATACTCAGGGGAATTGACAAAGTGGAAATAGATGAAATGTTCACACGTAATAATAATAGAACGAGGGGACATGGGTGGAAACTGGAAACTCAGATGAGTCACAGAGATGTTAGGAAGTTTTCTTTTAGCGTGAGAGTAGTGGAAAAATGGAATGCACTTGGGGAACAGGTTGTGGAAGCAAATACTATTCATACTTTTAAAACTAGGTATGATAGGGAAATGGGACTGGAGTCATTGCTGTAAACAACCGATAGGTGGAAAGGCGGGATCCACGACTCAATGCTCGATCCTGCAAGCACAAATAGGTGAGTACAAATAGGTGAGTACATGGACCGGGCTAGTGGGAGGTGACATGTTGGGACGGTCTGACACATGGACCGGGCTAGTGGGAGGTGACATGTTGGGACGGTCTGACACATGGACCAGGCTAGTGGGAGGTGACATGTTGGGACAGTCTGACACATGGACCGGGCTAGTGGGAGGTGACAAGTTGGGACAGTCTGAAACATGGACCGGGCTAGAGGGTGTGGGAGCGCACCACATGTCACTGGATGTAGTTTGGTCAACTTGAATAAATGCTGCGGCAAGCAGTGGCAGAGATGGGTGCTGCACAGGCCCATGGTGGCCACAGCCGGCGTAGCTAAGATTACTGTGACGTGTCCAAGCTGGTAGCCGTGCCCACACCCACCCAGTACCATGCAGACGGCCTGGTTAACGTAGACGTTGTAACTCAATGTGTCTCAGTATAGATATATTAAAGTTACATTAATTTTATCAGTATGTCATATATATCATTAGCATGCAGCAGGCCTTCAACGATGAGGCTACTAAATTGGCATGGGACACAGGGATAATGTAAACATAGTTAGCGGACGAGAGTGAACTGTAGTTATTGAGGAGTTAAGAGAGTAAACCAAGACTGAATGCTTGTATCAAGAGAGGGACTCGACCACACACCTCCTTGGACTATCATGTTTCTACAAGACTGGGAGAGATTTAGTTGACGTTTACAGACTGAGTTCGGATGCAATAGTACAGGAACTCAGAAGAATTATGCCTCTTAAGGTGGTATTTGTAAATGAAGTGATAACACCAATTTTTAAGAGTTGCAAATATATAGAAAGCTTGAGAGATATAGAAAGCTACAGAAATATAATCCTTGAATACGGTATAAGTAAAGGTGAAATACAGAAGTTGATAGAACAGTACAAGGACACAACATTAAGAATGGAGGAGGAAAGAGAGTTTAAGATATGGAGAAAGAGAGCAGAGAGCATTTGGGAAAAGAGCAATGAGTCAAAATTAATGGCACAAGAAGGAGGCAAGAGTGTGTTAGAACAATGACAGCCAGGAAAGTGTGCAATTACAGCCAATAACCTTTGTCAACAGCGAGTAGTTAATTTTGGCTACTGACCCATATCCTTCCCCAGCTAAGTCTATCAACATCCGCACAACCACCGACCATCCCACCCATCTCGTGTTCTCACACTCATACATAACTGTCCTGATCTATTTCAATAATTCCATTCCCACACCATATACGATACTTTGTGTTTCCAGCTGCGGCAGAAATGTACTCAAGCGGTACAGTTTGAAGCTTGTGGTATTGCATTCCTACATTATGAAAAAATTATATTTCACTAATTTTTGCATAGAGTCGGTAATTTTTTCTAACCCTCATGGAAATGTGCATTTTCCCCTACATTAAGATGGATTTTTTTTAATTAAGCGATAAAAACAAAATACAAAATATGATTTTGAGTGTTATTCATATGTGATATAACAATTGAAATTCTTCACTCAAAACATTAAAACATAAGATGTGATTACGAAGAATTAATTATTTGGGCTACTCTGTCGTAAGACACAGTTTAGTTAAGTACTTATAAACCACAGTGTAAGAACGACAGCCTGCGAACTTTGCGAAGGTGACATTTCAGTCTTTATAGCAAGATAATATTTAACTAAATATCATAATTTTCGAAATTAAAAAATGTATTTCATTTAAAGTTGCTGTAAAAACAATTATTGAGATGGCAGCCTCATGAAATGTGCACTTCCAATCGACAAACTCTCATTCCTTTCTTTACCAATTATTCCACTTATCACCACTAACTCCCCGCCCCCACTCCCAGGCTCTCTCGTCTTCATACAATTTTTATACCTTCTGCACCTGAACCAATCCAGTACCCAACCCCCACCCTGGGAGCTACCAACAATCAAGTCAAGAACCTGAAAATCTAGTAAACTATAGGTGATGGAATTTCACATAAAAAGAGATGAAGTAAA